AGTTGTAAAATTTTTGTTTTTCTAGAGAGTAGCATTTATACCCCCTTTTAATTTGAATAATAGTATACAAAAATACATGTGATTATCCTGGGATCATATTTGGTCTGATGTAATTGATATCGATGAACAAATGTGATGCAACCAAAAATTTTAGTTGCAAGTTAGAGGTCAATGACTGAATATGAGGGTGTTGAGAGGTTTGTTAAAGTTTAGCACTCTATTAGTCATCTGGTTTATGAGAAAGTGAATGTGAGAATAAGATCCTGCCAGAAGTGTTTGAGTACATTGTTAGTGAATAGAATTGAACGGGCCACTTCGAGAAGATGGTTGTTCTTTCTCTTAGCCACAATATTTTGTTGAGCCGTGTCAACACAAGAGCTTATATGAATGATGCTTTTTTTTTTGGATAGTCAAGGACTGAGAGTGGAGTTGTTGTAGTCTTTTGCATTATCAGTTTTGAGAATGTAAATTTTGCTCTGAAATGGAGTGATGATCATCTTGTGGAAGGTTTAAAGTTTGGTGGCATTTTTAGATTTTTTCTTCATGAGAAATGTCAAAGTGGTTTTGGTGTGATCATCAATGAAGGTGATAAACAACCTAGTCTCATTTGTATTTTTTTTATTTTTTGATGACCCTCAGATATCAATATGAATTATGGAGAAGTGATTTGTTGGTTTATATTTCAGGCATGGGTATGTCTGTTCAATGTGTTTAGAAAGTTGGCAAGTTTCTCACTGAAAAGAACCAAGTTTTTTATTGATAAACAAATGTGGATATAATTTTTTAATTTATTAGAAGTTATGATCCTCAAGACAAAAATGTGATAACTTAACTTGTCTCTCATGAGAAACATACGTAGATACAATCTTTGACTCAAATGATTGTGAATGATGGAACCGTTCTTTCAAAATGGGAGTCCTAGCGAGCAGATATAGTTCCTGATACATGTCTACATTATCGATCAAATTCCCGAAGTCCCTCACCTAGAAGTTAGGGTTCCTTTCCGAGCTCTGATACCGTATAGATTTTTGGAGAATAAAGGTCTCTAATTTTTTTTAAGCAAATAACTAATATATATATATATATATATCGTATGGGTAGGGCACCTTTTTTTGGGTCCTCTCATACAACCTCTATGTATCTAATCTATTTCAATAAAATTAGCCCTTATATATATACTCATACTAAGACTCTTACAATTAGAGGGAAATTCAAATCGTCATGATAAAAAGGAAAGAAATAAAACAAAATAATGGATAATTAAGAGAGAATAAGTCTCCCCTCAAATATAATAACAGACCCATAATTTCCAAAATTGTGTGCGTATAACATATTTTATTAATTCTTTTTTTCTAATGTAGTATATCTAATTCTTCCTGCTTATCCTTAGAAAGGGTTTCTTTGGTTTTTACCTTTTATATTCTATTGACAATAATTATATATGCTCAACTTTATCTTAATTTATCACCCTTTAATCACACTGTTATTTATGTTGCACTAAATTTTTGTGTCATTCTCTTCCTTAGTGCAAAATTTATCTGTATAGAATGTCCTATCTAAATGAAGTTTTTATAGAGTTTGCCACCCGTCTTATGATATTATCCTACAATATCGATCCTGTTTAGCACTTATTTTTTTTTATCCTTAGTATGAGAAGCTATGTTATTATTTCACTCTTCTATAATGCATCCATGATATTAAAGGGCCATGCATAGGTATCATTTAATCTTTTAACTTTTTTCTAATAACAGTTATATTTTTTAAAATTATATATCTGTTACTCTTCGTTTGCTTCTGTTAATTTTGTGGACTCTTCTGTTTTTTGTGTTGCAATTTGCCACTTCAGAAGCTATCAAAATCATGTAATTCGCAAAATCTATTCTGATATCTAATTTTGAATCTTTTTGATAGGCATCTCTATTATACTCGTTTTTCATGTAATTTATTATATTTTGTAGTGGTCACTCGCAACTATTTTTAATTTTTGATTTCCAATTTAATTCTTTGATATCAATGTAATTTGATTGATTTGCGCTCCAACATTTCAATGTTAGCATCTTCAAATGCAAGATAACAATTGCACATTCTCTTTTATATCATTCAAGTTAGTTGCATGCATGATTGCAATCTCTCTTTTATTTGTTTGTTGTCTTACAAGAATGCTTGAACTAAGTGCACGATTGGTTGATGTCATCTTGCATGTATTGAGGAGTTTGACTCGGAAAATATATGGGCAAAATTATGATTTTAAGAGATCTTCAATGTATTGTATCTTCATTTTTATATTTTTTACATGGTTGGCGAATAATTAAATTATCATATGAACTGCTAAAACTTGATCAACATTTTTATATCATAAATCACAATCAATAGCACCATCTTCAACTTGAAGACCTTATGTACTGATGCATCTGATAATCATCGATTTATTAATATATTATTGATGCATTTGATGATCATCGATTAAGCTTGATTCTGTTTGTGTGGTATTAGGTGTTGGATTGGTTAATTGTCATTTCACTATTTAGATGATATCTTCTATGTGTTGATATTTAAATTTGGTGAAATATATTGGCAAAACTAAATTTTTAAATGAATCATGTCTCATTTGATTACACTGAATTTTTCAATCTTGTTGAATTTGCAAATTGAACCCCATATAATTTTTATGTTATTGATCATTGTTAATGGTTATCTTTAATTTGAAGATGATGTACAGTGGTTGATGCAAGAAAGAAGTCGTCGCCACTTCTTAATATAGGGATAGGTTTCTTAAATAGACTACAATGAAGTAACCTTCCTGAGTTTGAAGCCATGCATTTGTTGAAGGGATAATTACATACATAGCACCCGAAACATATCTATTTGCAAAATCTAACATCCATGTGGTATTTTTGAACTACTGAACCGATGTATTCACGCTTGCCACGATCGAACCATTGAGAATTTGATAAACACGAAAAATATGGGTTGGAGTTTTATTTTGAATTTTGATATTTGAGTGAGAATTTGAAAAATGGATGAAAGAGGGTGCTAGATTTGTAAATAGCAATGTTTTCGGTGCTCTGTTTGTAAACTGTCCGATGTCGAAATATGCAGAGTTGTGTATGGGAAGGAAGAAGCAAAAGCATTTGGTATGATGATGGAGAAGATTCGAAGGTTTGCCTTTCCTTAAAAATATGTCTTAAAAGGTCGTGATTCCTAGGTGTTTTGGTCTTACTATCATTGGGTCATGAAAATGTTTTGGATCATATCTCTTTGATTGTCTTCAATATGTTAATTGTTAAAATAGAGGAAGATTGAGGAAATGGTGTGCGGATAGCTTAGTTTTACGTTCTGTGAATAAAGGGTAATGGATTATATAACTTCTTTGGGTCATGAAAATGTTATGGATCATGTATCTTTCAATGTATTATATTTATTAATTGTGAAATTAGAACGGGATTTTGGAAATGGTGTGCGGGTAGCTTGATTTTGTGTTGTTTTAAGCAAGTGTAAATAATTATTGATTTTAAAAGATATTGTTTATTTATTTAATCAAGGAAAGTGTTAGCAGTATTAGCTTGCTGTTGCGGTTCAGTAAACATTGCAATACATATATTAGATTATTGGAATAGACTTACGGGTGCGTTTGGTGCAGCTTTTTAGCTGCGATGTTGTGCGAAAACACAGTAAGGAGCATTTAAATATTGCGGTGCAATCACGTTTTGGAAAAATGTCATCTAAATGCGGGCCGCGGGCCCACATTTTTTTTTTCGCAACCAAAGACTGGTGTGCCCTTCTCCTCTCTCACGCAACCCTCTTCTCCCTCGTTCCCCACAGTTTAAACCCAGCTCGCCTCTATGCTCACGTATCCTGCCTCCCTTCAAACCGAAGCCCAGCTGCAACTGTGCCCCAACTCATCCCCCTCACAGACCCGTGAGTCTCCCGTCCCAACATTGTCTTCCTCTAACAACAAACTCCTTCCAACCCTTATCCCACTTGATCCCAAGTGAACCGAAGCCTCAGATTATTCCCAGCTGCTGTTTTCCTAACCGAGCAAAGTCCCAGCATCCACCCCTTTTCCATTTGTTGATGGCATATTTTTTGGGGCATTTACATACATACCACACCATTCTTATGTATTTACATGTCTAACACTTACATGCAAGCAACTCAGATCATTTACACCACAAAATGTAAATACAGCTTTTTGTGCCTAGGATTATGACGCCAAGGGTAAATATCAAAGTTTTAGTGTTAGGTATGTAAATACATAAAAATTGTGGTATGTATTCATTTTCTTTTTTTTGTGAGGTGTTGAAGATTTTAAGAGTTTTTATTTAATCATGTAGAGTTTACTATATCCTGAAAGTTGTTTTGTTAGTTATTTTTAGTCGTATGAATAATTAGATTTTGAGATTGACAACCAGTATTGATTCTGTTATAAGCAACACAATAGTACTGGGGCAGAAAGATGTTTTTTCATAAACAGTTGCTGCACAACTACTCAAAACGAACAAACACATAGCTTCCCCGTACAGCTTTCTAGTACAACTATTGTGCAATAGTTTTTTAATAAGCTGTAACTGCCCCAAACAGACCTTTAGGTTCTGTTTGTATTAGTATTTTAGGAACTGTTTGGGTGATCTTTATTTTTGTTTTTATTTTATTTTGTATGTTTTGATTTAAATTAAGACATGTTGGATTGAGCTAGTTATTTTTAAGAACACTCAAAATATCTTTTAACTGTTTTGCATATTTTTTAAAAATAGTTGATTTGTCTTTAAAACATAAAACAAAAACATATAAAAGTTATATCAACCAAAATGTATTTTTAAAAATAAAGGCAAAAAAAACAAGAAACAAAAATAATGCCAAACGGGCCCTTACTGTTTTAGTGTATTCTTTTTATTGCGATTGCATGATATGCTCTGTTTGTTCCTTGTTATTCTTTAATGTTTTTCTTAGTTTTTCAGCAAGAATGCTCGTCTTCAAAACAATTTTATGTTGCATGACAGGGTAAGGTAATTACGGATATCTCAAACCATAATATAACCTATTGTGTTTATGATTCGGATATTGCAACGGGTTATGGAGTCGGAGCTTTCTTGTTCCTCTTTTCCAACCAAGCTCTTCTCATGGGTATCACAAAGTGCATGTGCTTCGGCCGACCGTTGGCTCCTGGTAGTAACAGAGCTTGGACCATTATTTATTTTGCTTCTTCATGGTGAGTGAATATCCTAGATTCTCATTTTTTTTGGGAAATTTACATACGCAGCAGCACAATTCTTTTGTATTTTCACATCTCACTCCTAAATTTTCATATTTACATACATAACACTTGGGTGCTTTAAACCTGTGCATGAGTAGGTGTATTCCACTTTTAAAAAATGATAATAGTGCTTTTTTTAATGTGATATTAAAGATTTTAGTGCTATGTGTATAAATATGAAAATTTAGGCGTGAGATATGAATACATAAGAATTGTGCACTTTTTATGTAGATGTCTCATTTTTTTTAAAATCCCAGCTATATACTTTACTTTGTACTTTAATTTCTTTCCGTGGTAATAACTTGTACAAAAATTATGGCAGGCTAACTTTCCTGATAGCTGAGTCATGTCTGATTGCTGGAGCAACAAAGAACGCCTATCACACTAAGTATAGGCATGTAATCTATGTGCAGAACTGGACCTGCGCTTCACTGCGCAAAGGAGTCTTTATAGCCGGAGCAGTATTTGTGGTTTTCACCATGGTGCTTAATGTGTACTATTATATGTACTTTGCGAAGGCGCTGAATCAGACTGCTCGGAAAACTGAACGTGTGAATTCAAGCATTGGAATAACTGGTTACAAATGAGCTCAACCAAATCACTATAATTTAAAACACTAAGGTATTGTCACCTATAAAAAGGGTATATATTATTGCTTCCTTCCATGTTTTATCGTATAATTTGTACTAAATTATTTCAGGTTAGTGCTAGTTTTTTTTTTTTTTTTACTTGGATACCAAATGTTTTGCAATAAAACTCGTTATAATGAACTTTTCATTACATCATCTTTTGCTTTGTACGTCAACCAGTTTTTATTCCCTTCTGTTTTCTGCTGGTAATATATATATATATATATATATATAAACCAAAAGCAATTATAATATTAACACTCAGATGTGATTCTATAGATGAGTCTTTACATGGATTAGGGATTCATGCGGTGTAAAAGTGGCATAGTGAAATAGAAAGGGGCGTGAACAGCTCAAAACAGTTTTTTAACATTGGTCATTTCCTTATTGGCCAAAATCTACCTTGATTAACCCTTATCAATATAGTTGATTGGACTTGACTTTGGTGAGCACTAATCATATTCTAGAAAACTGGATGTTGGCATGAGTCTCATACAGTTCTTTCAACTGCCTTCAATATGAGCCCCATTTGACCCCATCTAATATGTTGAAAGTATAGTTGGATTCGCCTGGATCAAGTCCACTCGGCCGGTAAAGAGTTGAACTTGCCGGAGTGAACCCATCAAAGCCAAGGGCTAGTGAAGAGCATCCTGAGTTTCATATTTTTTGGAGTAAGAAATTTTAGAACTCTAGTCTCTTTTAGTCTTGCTATACTATTCTTATTTTCATTATTCAAAATTACTCAAAATACACACTTTAAGGCCGCCACGACGCAATTTTGTAAGAAATTTGCCCGACGCACTGGCCTACCTCAATGCATTTTCTTAAGTCCATTGCGCATAAGATATTGAGTGTTCGCAGAGAGATTCCAAATTTGCTCATGAGCAGTTAGAGAAGAAGAAAAGAGAGTAGAGATAATGAGAGAGAGTGAGTTAGAGAGAGAGAGTGGAGAAAGAGAGGTGGTTGATTTGGATAATGGCCATTAGCGATGAGGTCAAAGGCGATAGCAGGATGAGGAAGGCTCAACATTAACTTTTAGATTGGTCTACTACTGGAACATATTGGGAAAGCTTGATGATTTGCAAGAATGCAAATTAGTTTTTGGATTGGCATCAAGTTACATAGAACCTCGCTTCTTTACCAAAGTTTGAGGAGTTGTTAGCAACTTCACTGTACATTTATAACATTTTGATCTGATAAACCTATGCATGAAATGGTTCAACTTCTTAAAAGCAGGTGATAGTGAGGCTTTTTTATGTGATATTAATGATTCGAGCGTTGTGGATGCAAATATTAAAGTGTTAGATATGTAAATACAGGGATCGTATGGTATCTGTGTAAATGACTCGATATATTTTTTGATTCTTAGTGGTCAATTTTTAGTTTACTATTGTCGAATGACTCCCTTGAATACATGTTTGAAATAACCATAGATGATTGTTCACATATTTTAATTTACATGCTCTCATTCGACTGTTTATCTCTTTATCCATTGTGCCACCAAAGAGTTTCCGCATCATGAAATTTGATCATATGGGCATTTACATACATTGCATTCAATTCCTATGTATTTATATATCTAACACCTAACTAATTTTTTACATAAAGATTGAACTTTTGGTTTAACATATGTAAATATTTAGGAATTTAAGTGGTGTTTATGTAAAATCATCTTTCATTGTTTGACTCCCACATTTTTTGTCTTTGTTCCTACACTAACAGCATTTGGCCCTTTCTCCAATTATTTTGTTTATTTGATGGACCATCATGCATTATTTGTTGAATGGAACTTTGGCCATTCTTGATATGTTATGTAATCTTATTACATAAATATATATGCATAAATTATGAACAAAATAATTAATTTATAGTTATACACTTCAAAATATATGATTATTAACTTGTATTTGTAAACAAATAACTATCGCCTATGCATTTTTAACAAATTCATACGTCTTTTAAGGATATCGGGTTAATAATTATTTTTAAAAATATTATAATATTTTATGAAATGATTATATAACTATTTCCAGTTTTATATATATATATATATAGACACAATTTATAGTCAAACTTGAATCTTGAGGCAAATGTAAAGAGCTTATTGTGTATGTTTGACACATACCATTGAATTCTCATGTAATTTTTTACGTTTATAACATTTATTCATGAAAAAGCACATTTCACATTTTAAAACTCAAAATAGTGGTATTTTTTACGTGAGATTAAAATTTTGAGCGGAATAAATACAAAAAAAACTAAACTTTTAGCCAATATTTGCCTCAAAAGTTTCTACTTCTACTACTAACTTTGAATTTATATTCAAGGTCAAAGGAGATGACAAATATCGGCAAAAATTCAAGTTGTAGGTAAGTTTAAAGGAAGTTTACACGCATACAACAAAACTCTTATGCATTTGAGTGGCATAAAAGTAAAAAAAGTAAACACATAGAAAATGGGTTGTGTGCATGAGAATACACATTAAATGTTTTTTAATTGCATCAACTGTTCCCATATAAATGAAAATCACTCTATTATTATTATTATTATTATTATTATATATAGACAAAATTCAGAGTCAAACTTGAATCTTGAGGCAAATTTAAAGAACTAATTGTGTATGTTTGACACTAGAGCTTATTGTGTATGTTTGACACATACCATTGAATTCTCATGTAATTTTTTACGTTTATAACATTTATTCATGAAAAAGCACATTTCACATTTTAAAAGTCAAAATAGTGGTATTTTTTACGTGAGATTAAAATTTTGAGCGGAATAAATACAAAAAAAACTCAACTTTTAGCCAATATTTGCCTCAAAGGTTTCTACTTCTACTACTAACTTTGAATTTATATTTAAGGTCAAAGGACATGACAAATATGGGCAAAAATGTCTTTTGACAGTTCAGAGAAAATTAAAGGAAGTTTACTCGCATACCACACAATTCTTATGCATTTCATATCATAACACTCCAATATTTAACATCACATGAAAAAATATCATTTTAACTAGTTTTTATAAGTAAAAAAAACACCTTTTTAAGGTTTATAGCACCAAGGTGTTTATAATTAGTGTTTATAAATGTAATTATTAAGGTAAGGTTTATATAAATCCTATACATAAAAAGGTGCTTTTCACTTATAAAAAATTTATTAAAATGATATATTTTTCATGTGATGTTAAATATTTGAGTGTTATGATAAAGTTTGATGTATAAATCCATAAGAAATGTGTGGTGCCTCTAATTACATATTCAACAAATGCACTTCAATTTTTACATAAATACCCTCTTTAACTACATGCATGAAAAGGTTTATTTCACTTCTTATAAGTTAAAGGAGGACATTCTTAATGTGATGTGAAGGATTTGAGTGGCGTAAAAGTAAAAAAAAACACATAGAAAATGGGTTGTGTGCATGTCAATACACATTAAATGTTTTTTTAATTTCAACAACTGTGCCCATATAAATGAAAACTCCGGAATTATTAATAGCTTCCATTTAAAATATCTAATAGGTTATGCCACCATTTACTCCTAATTGTCATAGTGCCACAACAACTTACATACATAATACAACAATGCACACATAATACAACAATACATAAGCCATTTTAAGTCAGAAACAAGAACAACAAAGCAGCTAAAATCCAGAAAAAAAAACAAGCACAAGGCAGAAGAGAGTCCAGTACTTACTATTTTTAGCTAATTCTTGACCTTGGTGACATGCCTGAGAAGCATTTGGACGACATCAGCAGAAATCCTTTCAGATTCGTTGTTGAGGCGTTGGATTTTGGCCTCAGTCTCCGCTTCCAGCCGCTTCACGTTTGCCCCACTATCACCACTGCTCTGTTTTCAACAATCAAGAAAACCCAACATGTGAAATTTCTGGAATTCTATAATATTACAAATAATTATGACCGTCTTCCAGAATTTTTATTCAATGTTTCTGGTGTTAATTGCATGTCGCATCCAATGTGGGCATTTAAATAAACACCCCCCAGTTCTTATGGATTCACAACCACTAAATTTTACTTTTTACATTTATATCACCCAAAGCTTTTATAAAAAGTTAAATACTCCTTTTTCATGCATGGGTAGAATGGCATGCATGTGAAAATCGAAGTTTAGGCTTTAGAAATGTAAATGCATATGAATTATGCGGTATGTATGTAAATCTTCCTTGGTTTGAACAAAAATAAACACATGGGCTTTTGATAGGATTTATTTTTATTTTAGGGGTTTCTCGACAATCGTACCCAGAAAAATAACTGAGAAAACTCTCGATCAAGATATTGTGGTTCTTCGTGTTCGTAATTTTAATTTTATGGATGTAGGATTACAGAAGATTGGACAGTGACTACAAAAGATCCTGTGTGGTTGATCCAAGAAAATGGGTTTCAAATGCCTTGCTATAAGCAAAAAGGCAGCCTAAAAAGAAGCTTAGGTTCACATGGTCAAACACCAAATAAATAAGGAGGATTTACATACATACCGTATAAGTCGTATGCAATTATATATCTATTGTATAAATTGTGAAATATAGTAATGCAGCACTTCAGTGTCTTAATCATACCAAACCATATGCATGAAAAAATGTATTGCACTTTGAAGAAGTTAATATAGTCATCTTTTTTATGTAATGAAAATATTTGGGTGGATAGTTTAAAGGCCGAAATCATGACTTACTGAGATATAAGAAAATAGATTTTACATCACAAGAAAGACAATTATCCTGAAGGTCCAGTAGGACTGCAGACTTCAATCGACATCAGTTTTTAAATTCAGAATCTACTTAACCAACTATAGCCTTTTTAGCAGCCAGTAATTACATGATATGAAAATTATCAAAGCACAATTAAACCTTACCTCTGCGAGTTTCTTCTGAAATTCAGCCTCCAGCTGGGCACGAAACTCAGCAGCCTCTTTCTCCGCCTCTTCTTTCGCCTGCTTCAGCCTCGCCGTTTTTGCTGGACATAAAGAAGATGTTAACAAAGAAGGTTGACGGAATGTAACAACTAACACAAGAATGCCCAAACGAATGGAGATGGTACAATAGACCTAACTAGTAAATGAAGTTAATTAAATTAAGGGGGTCAAAAGTTGACCCAACACACCAACCTGCCTTGAACTCGAATCAAAAAATTTAAATTCAGGTTGACCCAAATATTTTTCAGTTTAGTTTTAGGTTACGAATCCTAACCCATTTAATCTTTCGGGTCGAGTTTGGGTTGACCAATCGAACAAAAAATGGCTCAAAGTCAACCCGAGTTTGGCCTGAATTGAGCATTAATTACTCCTATGCTTCATTTTAAATGGCTTATACGGGTCAGGTCAACAGGTTGAAGACGAGTCATGTTCGGAGTGGACTTTCAGACATATTTAATTTTCGGGCCAGATTCGAGCCAAGCAATTTCAGATTCACTCAATTTCATATTAGACCATAACCTGGACCATAAACTCAATTTTAAAACCCCAAAATTAAATGAAGAATTAGTCTGTTATTTAAATTGATACTCTGATTATTCTATATCAACTTGTTATCAAGCTCATGCAACATTCTACATATAAATATCTTATAAGATATGCTTATCCTAATGAAATTTTTGTGAGAAAACCAAAAGAACAGAGGAGAATTGTAATGGGGAATTTATTTGCAATGCATTTAGATACATTCCAGTTAGAGAATATATCATGGGGCTTTTCTTTGAATGTTGCTCAGTTGTATAATTGGGAATTTATTGGCCTTGGAGATGAAATGCAAGATATGTCTATGGCTTTGGTGTTGAGATGAAATGCAAGCTATCTATGGAATGCTATCCACTTTTGATACTCTGCTCTTTAGTTAAAAAATATATCACCGAGCATTTACATACATAACCTGCAATTCTTTGAATGTTCTTTAGTGCATGAATTATCTCACTTTCATTTATGTGTTGATGAATTATTTCTGTTGGGTTTTAGAGCATCGGGTTGGCATATTTTTATGGGGTTTTCTAGCTTCATTTGATGCTGAGGATAGAAAGAAAATACACTACTTATATTTTAGACCTACGAGTTGTATTGGTCTTTAGAGCTTCGGTTTGCATTGGTCTTTTATGTTGATGGAAATGCATAATAATTCGGCAGTTGCTTCAGGTGGAATTGGATTTCACGACATGTATGAGAAGGTGCATATCAAATATAAGATGTGTATTGTTTTATTGTCACACATGTACTTCAGTTGGATGTCTTTTAATACCAGTCAGTCAGTATATGAAAAATGTCTATTGTTTATTTGTTACACATGTACTTCAGTTGTAATATTCTCCATTGAGAATCATAGCTATGTAACCTTCCACAATTGCATAATAAAACATGTTTGATACATTACTGAGGATGTAGGTCTTTGACCGAACCACATAATTCATTTGTGTAAACATTTTTTATTTTTTTTATGAGCAAATTTGGACACTGTTGTTTGTTCATTTTAGAAATTTTTCCTTTTATGAAGGTTTATTTTTATGATGGGAAGCCGACATTTCCCAGTTTGATAGTGCAGCTGAGGACAAACGTAGTTAGAGTTTGAAATTGAATATTTTAATATTTCTCATTGTACTTGTACATGTCTTTATCTTTTTTTTTACTCACGAGAGTATTAGAACTGTTTTTCATCTTTTCAAACTGATCTGTGATTATTTTATGTTTCTGCACTATATGCTTCTGTACTACCAATAAGTTATTCTAAATAAGCTGCCCCAAACAGTTTTACCAAACAGGGGCAGGAAAGTCATTTATACAGTCATAACTACCAATAAACTATTTTGAATAAGTCGTCACAAACAGTAGATTATTCATAAATTATTTTGAATAAGTCGTCATAATCTACTGATAAATAAATTATTCTGATAATCTGCAGATTATCAGAATAATTTATTTATCAGTAGATTATAAATAATCAATAGCTGCCCCAAACAAACCCTTAGTTCTGAAAATTATGAAAACTGCACTTATTTGAATCTATTACGTACATAAGCTCAAAATAGTCTTTCTCATCACAAACAGGAACAGTACAACAGATCCTTCAAACAGACACTTATTTTTTCATCAACAGCTTTCTGATAGCTCTCCAAGAAGTAGCTTTACAGCAGCTTCTTGGAAAAACAATAGCAGCTCCAAACGCGCCCTAAGTCTCGGGTTATCCTAATTTAAATAACTCATAATAAAGATAAATTTATATTCTCAAATACTTTTGAATGACAACTATTTTCAAGAAAATCCAAATATTTTTGTATGAAAAGAATTTTTTTTATTACTTTAATATAAATTTATATGTATCTTTATTATGAGAAATTCAAATTAAGAAATTGAGCTTCATTTGTTGAGAATATATTTCTTAATCACAATTGAAACCTGGGGAGGGAGAACGAAACTTTAGGAAGAAAATTGAAATATATGATTAAAAACAATGCTTGATTGACAATTTTACCAAAACTTCACCTAGAACGAAAAAATAATCAAATAACATCTTGATTTGTCAGCATGACTGACGTTTTCTAGGAGAAAATAAATCACTATGAATTATTAAAATCTAAAGATAATTAAAAACTACCAACCTAATTTTTATAACCACACCTTAGGTAGTTTCAAACTATGACTGTAGGGTAGCAAACGTAGATGAAAAGCTAGTACCATACACATACCCTAGATTAGTCCAGCCTAGAAGCCTGGGTTAGTTATTAAGTTCTCCCGATAAATTAGAACTAAGGACTAGGACATATAAAACAAACCGAACAACCCTCAAAGACTATGAGTAAACTAGAATGAAGTAGCTCATACTATAGACGAAGATACAACTACATGCATAACAAGAAGGACTACCTTAAGACATTGTTATGACGATAAGGGATAACTCTTGTTATTCTGGTGGTTAATAATCTGAGGCTACCAATGTACCCGAGACGATGAAAAAATCATGGGCATCTTCACCGGGTGTGTTACTCCTAAATTTAGGCTAGGTTGCTTATAATTTCATATTTAGAGATATTTAAATTAGGGTTTCACCTCCATCTAGAAATCTTGTCACTTTTCCTACCCTTTAGATTAGGATATCTCTTAAATCAATTCACCTCAATCAAACTAAAACTTAACTTAATTGAATTAATCCAAACACAAACCAATTCCAAATCCAAACTCAATCCAATTCCAATCTCAAACTTATTCAAATTCTAAATCCAAACCAATTCAATTCCAACACAAACACAAATTGTTTCTCAAACCTGATCCATTGATTCAAGTTTTATATCACTTTAACTATCAAATGTTGCAAATTGTTTCTCAAACCTCATCCATTGATTCAAGCTTTACATTACTTTAACTGTCAAATGGTGGGCTCAACCCTAAAGGTTAAAGTTTTTGAAACTCAAGTGAAGTCAACATATGTCCAATCTTAACTTTTTATCAGATTCTTCTAATCTAGTATCTCATAAACATTCATTATTGAATAGTAAATATATACGACAAATTTAATCGAAAGTATTCTCAAGGGTAATTCTTGAGATGTAATCAACTATGAGGGAGCCCCCTCATAGGGATACTAGACCACAAAATTAAAATAAACTTTATCTTATACTTGTAAAGTAAGGGAAGAAATATGGTTCCACAGATCCATTAATCCCAAATATTTTCCTTGACCGAATTGTTAGATCCATTCTAAGATATTATTTCTTTCTTTAGATATAGTATATTATTTTTTGAATGCGTATATGATTATTTAGATAGAAGTCTTTAGAGATCTATGGTGGGTCCCAACAATTAAAAAAAAAATCTACCAATTATTCTCCTGATGGGTTGGGTTTCTCACATGACGTTGCTCAATTTATCTCATACTCTAACATATCACCTGTACACCTAGCATTCATTGCATCGTTAGACATTATCTTTATACCTAAGTGTTGGCAGGTAGCTAGGGAGGATCTAATGAGGAAGGTTGTCATGCTGGAGGAACTTAGTGCTCTTGATAAGAACAGGACGTGGGAGAGTGTCATTACCAACAAGTAAAGAGCAATTGAGTGCAAGTGGATCTTTTCAGTAAAACACAATCTGAAAGGAAAGGTGAAGCGTTACAAGACACGATTAGTGATGAAAGAGTATATTCAGACATATGACATTGATTATGACGAGAACTTTGCACCGGTGGCAAAGAAGAGCACAATGAGGACACTATTTTCTCTGACTGTGAATGGTGAGTGGAGGTTACACCAACTCGATATAAAGAATTCTTTTCTTCATTGCAAGTTACTGAAGGTGATATGGAAATACTACCAGGATTTGATACAGGTCAAACAATGGGTAAGGTGTGAAGGCTCAGGGAGTCGATTTATGGCTTTAAGTAGTCTCCTCGACTTGGTTTGACAAGTTTATAAAAGCTATGGTGGGCATGGGATATCAACAGATCAATGTTGATCATAAGGATTTCTTTCATCAAAATGGTGGTCGCATTACTGTTGTGTATGTTGATGGCATGATTATCACAAGTAGTGGGCAACTTGTTCCCTTGGAAGATCAAGAAATAATATGTAGCGAGGTTAACAACAAAGGTAGAGTACAGGTCCATGGTCTTAGGAGTTGTCGAGATGATGTGGCTAAGAGCCTTGTTGGTCAAGCTCAAGGTGGATCACGAAACTCAAATGAAGTTATACTGTGACAACAAGTCAGTAATTAACATTGTCAACAACCCAGTGCAACAAGATAGAACCAAACAAGTGGAGATTGATAGATTCTTCATCAAGAAAAAAGTTGAATAACATGTTAATGGAGCTATAAGTCTTGTTGCCACTGGAGAGCAAGTGACTAACTGCCTCACTAAAGGACTTAGTTCATTCGATTTGTCTAGATTATGTGACAAGATGGGCTTAGTGGATATCTTTTGCCTATCTTACGCGAGAGTGTTGAAATTTGTATCTTTTGTTGAAAGTTTCTAATTGAAAATAAGAAATATAGAAGAAATATAGGGATTATTTGTAAAAAGGTTGAAAGACTCTACAGAAGCACAACTCATGAAAGAATGAAACATAATTTTTTTTACCGATGTACTAAGTTTTTCAACGTTTATTAATGCAAATATGTAAGTTTAGCATCAAACTGAGCCACAATTTAGGTCAGTCTGATTAGCGTTACTGAGAGGGTCCACAATGACACCTTATGGGGCGCATTTATGAATGACATGCTATAACTTGTATGATTTGAATATTACTCTAGATTCTTTTTTTTTGCTAGATGCTGTAACTTGAGCATTACTATAGCAAGAAGCATCACCCAAAATGCTAGTTGGCTCCATTTGCTCATAGATATTTACAACACAAAAATTTAGTGTGCCTGTGTTGTGATCAGAAGAGCTAAATCCAATAACATGAGCCCTAGAGAATGATTTTCCTAATTCCAAATGGGTCTCAAAAAAATAAATAAATAATGTACAAAAATTTATAAGAATTGCAATTTGAGAGTATTCAAATCCCACTTTTCACCGATAGCTGCACGACGAAGTGACAATGAGCACCTACTAAACCTAAGTGTAAGAAATGCCCATCTCAAAAAAAAAACCAGCCACAGGAGATCAAGTGAGTCTAATTGTGGCATAATCCACTTTTATTGATTTGCCATATACTGTGGAACAATTTAGTGGGATTACGAAAAAACATCCCAAACATGGGTAACAGGAAGATTCTAAGAAATTGTTAAATATGGACAACACTTCAGCAATCACATTTGTAGGTCATTCACATAATATGCGTGGCAAGAGAAAAGACTACAGTAATTTGTTTCCAAAGATAGTTTGATCAGAATGTGAAACCGATGAACTCCAACAAAAATGTAGCCTAAAAAAAGATCATACCAAAAGGACCAGATAATCTCAAAGATTAGGCGATCAAAGACAAATTTACCAACAAAGTGTAGAAAAATAAAGCTACTATATAAACATATTTCCTCTAAGAAAATGAAAGCTAGTTTACTATATAATATGAGTGGACGTGTAGGTAAACTTGCACCTAACATATTTCAGGTCATGTACAATGAATAAAAATAAAAAGATACGTGAGTCCAACTATGAGGAACCCTTCCACCAAACAACATCAACAAAGAAGAAAGGGAGAGTACAGGACTTGGGAAGCTGAGTAAAAATTAGGTGAAGAGAACTGGCATAATGAACAGGACGACCAGCACTAACCGTTGTGTCATCCAAATGCGATAGCTGGAGAAGAATGAATAAAGAAAAAGCAAATGGTGTAAACATGATGCCAACATCAAGACGCATCGACAAAGAGAGTGAATAAGCAATAATAAGCAAGATGGCAGTCAGGCTCTATAAAGAAAGGTGGAGGAAAGCTGCCATTCGAAATTTGGGACAACGAAAGTGGGACGCAATACACGGTACAGTAAAGATGACTAATTTAAGACCAGGCAACAATCAGAGCAAAGTTACCGAGCACAGCAGCAACAAGAAAAAGGGATGAAGCTCAAAAAAAGGCAAACAGTAGCAGTCCGCAAGAGAGACAGAGAGCTAAATGGGTGCAATGAGCGTAGGGTTAGCCTGCTAGGGATAAGGGAGCAACTGCTTGCAAGCTCAAGACCAATTTTGTGAATTTTGACAAAAAATGGCAACATAATAGAATGCCATTACAAGAATCATGATTAATCATAAAAGTTAAAACTATTCCATGCAAGTTAAAAATTCAAAACCTTAATCCATTCCCACTAAGGTTGGCATTGAGTAGAGTTTCTGCGAGTCAATTCTGATTAGAACTCAAAATTGAATTAAACTCAAATTGTAGTTTGGGTCGAGATTGATTGTATCAAAATCATTAACATAAGTCATGAATATGAGGATATTTTCACCCAAACTAAAATCTGATTTAGCTTAAATTGATTTCAAATATTGTTTAATGTGTTTTGTAGAATTTTCATGTAAAAGAAATACACAAAAATAATTGAATTGAATATGAATATACATGCATATAAAATTTATATATACCAATATATGTTTTGATCTGAAAGGGACGATATTTTGAGTGAGCCAACCTAGGATTGAAATTAGTTAAGGTTTTATTTTTTAACCAAGAATCAAACTTGCAGGTCAACTCAAAATGACTCCAGGAAATTTCAAATTAAGTCAAAATCTGAACAAGCTTCAAGTTTTGACTAATATTGTCTCCTTTGATTCCAATAGTGATTACACTTCGAATGCGTTTGGGACACTTATCGGCCAATTTTTGAACCGCATTCCCTCCGCGTCCTTTTGATTGGCGCGTTTGCGAATCATTGTTTAAACCGGCGGCTGGCTTTATCAAAGGAAGCTGGCTGCTATGCTAATCCCGTATTCCCGTTCGGCCTTCCACATTCTACTAAGGAAATATTTAATTTCTACCTACCATCAGCAACCATTCATCTTTAATATTGATTAATCAGTGATATATATATACAACAAATAATTAGATCAATTTTTTGTACAAGGCTATAAAAAAAAAATTTAATTAGTGGATTCTCTTTTTAATCAATAATATTTATTTTTAGTTTATATTAAAAACTATATTAAACACAACCAAAAAATAATATTTATTCATAGATTAGTACTTTCAAAATTGAATTTCTCAAAAAAAAAATCAACTGTTTCTAAAACACTAGCATTTAAACAACATTTTTTTCACAGCAACTTCCAAGTTGAGATTTCATATAGCCGCAAGCCCTTCATGTGAAAACGTGGGCTTCATTGCACTCCCAATCCTCACACCTTGCTATCTACGTTTGGAAAGATATGCTAGGTTCAGTTCAAGAACTTGGTCGGTTGAAATCAAACTTATTCAAGCACAGATTTAATGTGTAATGAAACAGTATCAATATGGATATGAATGCAGGCATCCAGCATTACTGATGGAATTCGATAACCATATAGCATACTACTTTGCATACATTCATGAGCCTAAAGTATAAAACATGTCACATACTTCATTGTGTTTTGCCTAAATTTAAACTATTTCTATTTCATTAAAAATGTAAATTAGCACCTACAATGTATTCTTGAGCTAAGCCTACAAACACTTCAGCATTACTAAATGCTTAGTATTTCCGTAAAAAATTAGCTGGCAATGCACTGGAAATTAGCCTAAAATTACGAATAGAAATTAGCCAGAGATTATAAGAGCAGAAAATAATAAATAGTGTGAAAATAGTAATAGAAGAAAATTTTCATTTAAGATAATGCATCCGTGTCATTAGGTTTTTTTTTATGCATTCAAAAGCTTGTTGATAATCATTATCCTGGGGGCGCCTGGTGTTGAGCTTACCGTTCCTAGCAGCATTGACAATTTGCTGGGCTTCTTGTTCTGCAGCTAATAGTTGTTGAATCCCTCCCTGGCGCCTGTTAGAATCCATTTTTTACCTGCCAATTGTGCGACAAATTAAAACTGCCATATACAGAGCCAAAAATAAATAAAAAAAGAAACAATGAGGTAGATAATTTCAACGGGAAGTATCTAAAGTAGAAATGAGCATATAACTTAAACAATTGGCCCCACTTTCGTCCACCTGAAAAAATGAATAAAAAAATGCGAAAAGTACCACAAATATGCACAAAAAATCAAATCATTTGCGGAGTATTTTAAAATAAAAAACAAGATAAATCATAACTGCAAAACAAGCTTTCATCATTCTACACGGGAGCTTAAAATCACTATGTATGGTCGCACAATTAAAACAATCCCAAAATTGCATTCACTATTCCGCACGGTCCCAAGCATTTGGAATCTACTATTAAAAGCATAACTCGTTAAAATAGATTACCAGTTCAGACTGTAAAGCTAAATTTTAAGAGGAAAATAAAGCAAACCTAGTGCTTGAAGCTCTGGCTAATATAGGGTCTAAGAAAAAGTAGATGTACACAACCTTACATAAGAATTTACAAAGAAGTCGTTTGTACGCAGCCTTACTGCTAAAAAAAATTTAGTGAAGTATATAGCCAATAATTCATCGATAACTGATTTTGAAAATGCAGCAGCATCCTTTTACGGATGCTTAGGAGTCCATTTCTCAATTCTCAACAAATCTTTGAATTTTTTAGAATAAAATTATTTTAGCCCTCATTAATAATCAACTTTATTAAGCACAAGCATGCTTATATTTGATTGTTTGGTAAAATTTCATTTGATTTGGATTTCTGTGGAAAAAAAATTTATAAGAGTTCTTTTTGTTTTTGATTCATGAAGATTAATTTGAAATTTTTTTTGAAGAATTTCATTGATATGTATATGTAAATTTTAAGAGACAAGTGTGAAAATATCAAGAGTTTATCAAAAATAGAGTATTATCGAAGGAGCCAAGAAGCTCTCCCAAGTTGCAGATTAATCGAGGAAATGCCCTGACAAAGAATGCCATAAGTGTGTCATCCTAAAGGAGGAGCCACAAGTCTCCAACCTCTGAAAGAATTGGAGAGAAGATATTTTTTAATTTTTCATTTGGTAATTTCAAGTGAATTTGTTAAGCTTCAAAAGAGATTTTTTTTTTTTTTAGTCCAAAAAGGTGTATTCGTTAAATGAATGTATTAATCATGTCACAAATTTTCATCCTAAACATATGTCTTACATTCGCTACCCTGAGGTTTCTTCTCAAATATAAAAATAAAATGAATAGAATAAAGGAAAAAGAATAACATTGTCATATCATCAAGAAAAACATAAATAACTGAATGCTGTAAGCAAGCAAAGGAAGAACATACTTGCCACTCCAAAAGTTATTTTTAGAATAAACAACACAAACAAGATGGTGGTCATGAAACTCATCCCTCATTTATTTCCAACAAAAATTAAACCGCAATGTCTCGAATTTTCCATGAGCGAAACCATCAACATTTCATACTTTCATGATTGAAATCGTCAAGCTTTCAAATTTGGCACAATCAAAACCCCTTTGTGGAGGACATTAGCATGCAAACATTGTAGGATACACACATCACTCAATTCTAAGCTTTCATATATGTGATCACTAATTTTCCAGGGTTTATATTCATACCATCCAACTTTTAATGACACAATATTTCTTGCCCCGTTTAGGGCGAAGGTAGAGGAGCAGCGTGATGGGGCGCCGCACTTTTCCTGGGTTTGGGGCGGGAGGGCAACCGCGGTACCCCCGCCTTTTTCCTTAAACGCGGGCCGTGGATTCTACCCCACGACCCGCTTTTCTCCTTCGGCCTTTTACCATGGTGCCTCCCTGTTTGTGATCCCGCCCTAACTCTTCTTCCTCCTCATTCAGCTCTTTACGCAGGGGGCAAGCTGAGATCCGTCCCCCCCCCC